ATTTTCCCCCTGGCACCCCAAATTTCCCTATACTCCCCCCCTAACTTTTTTTCCCCACTTTAGCTTTGAAAACCCCCAACCACCATTACTCCCCCCCATTTTGATTCAAAATTTCCCCAGCATTCACTAAAACCCTTTTCCCCAAAACTCTCTCTCTCCTTTTCACTTCTCTTTTTTCCCCAGGTGCTTTACCACTTATTATAACCACTTTTTACTTTCCCTTTCTTTATTTTAAATCCCCCCAAAACCTTGAAATTAATTTCATTTATAGTCCCCCTTTTTTCCGCCCTAGCTTATCCCTTTAACATTATTGCTACTCCTTCTTTATCTTTAACTTTTTGAAAAACCCTTGACCTAAATTCCCCCTTTATTTTCTCCATTTAAACTCTCCCCCCCCCCTTAGCTTTGTTTCATTAAAGCCAGGACACCCGGGTTTTTTCCCTTCTTTAAAATCCACAATTTATTTTCTTTTTTATCATTTTCCCCAAAACCCTCCCCGCACATTCAACTTTTCCCCCTTTTACAATGGTTTTTTTCTTCTTATTTTTTTTTAGTAATTTTTTACAGGGAAAAGGGGGGTTTCTAGCCCTTTTTTTCCCCCTTTTTTGTTTGACCCTTTTTCCCAAAAGCATGGCTTACGGAGGGGGAAAAATTCCACTTCCCCCTGGATATAAAAGGGAAAAAAAAATAAAAACCAAGGAAAATTTTAAGATAAAAAACAAAAAAAAAACTCAGATGAGTGTGTATAAAAAAATGTGTTTCATTATGTGTAGTGGACCTAAAGGGGTAAGTTGGGAAATAGCAAAGACATACCTGTTTTTCTTGCTTTTTTTTTGGAAGACAAAAAGGGTTTAGCAATCCTTAATATGTTTTAAAAAATTTTTCAGGGGTTTCGTTTTAAAGCCCCACTTGGCCCTTTTTTGTGGGTGTGGTGTATATATTTTATTTATATATTATATATTTATATATATATATATATATTTTAATATATATATATTATGAAAGTTTGTTGTTTGTATGTTGTATGTATGTTATATTATATAGATTTTTATATAAAAAATGTACAGTCACGGGACATGTTTCCCAAAAAAGTTCTGCCGCTTGTGGAACCCCTTTGGAAACATGGTTTCATCCCCAAAAAGGGTTTTTCACTCCTTTCAAATAAAACCAGGTTGGGGTCTGAAATTTTTGTGGGCATTTTTTTTTTAGTGCAAAAACCCCCAAAAAACCCTTTTTTGAGCAGTTTTCTTCAAAGTATTAGCAGGGCAGTTGTGTTACTAGTTATCCCAGGTTAAAGGGGTTTTGTGTCATCATTCCCTCCTTCCTGCATTCCCTTTCCTTTCCTTCCCTTTTTTTTTTCCTTCCTTTCCCTTTTTTTCAAACCTTCCTTCCTTTCTTTTTTCCCTTTCCCTTTCCCTTTCCCTTTTGGTTTTGGGAATATATATACAAAATATATGTCCTTAGGTAGTAGGTTGGTAGAAAGCAAAAACCCCCCAGGGAGGTACTACCATTTTCCCGCCCCCGGTGAGTGTTTTAAAAAGAAAAACCCTAATTATTTTTTTCCCCCGATGGTTGGATTGCTGGTGTCCTTTTCTCCGGGCTCATAAAAAAATTTTCAAAAATTTTCGGTAGTTTTTGCTACTTCACTTACAATTGGTCCATTTTAAAATTACATGTAAAGGGATATTTTATACACACCCTCTGGGTTTTCTTCTATTTTTTTTCTAGTTCTTGTTTTGTTTATTTCCTTGGGTTTTCATGGGGAAGTGGAACAGAATTCTTCCTCCGTTTAAACCATGGGTTTTTAAGGGGGCGACTAAAATTTCTGGGGGCAAAAGGGGCCTTTGTAAACCCCTTTCCCTTATAAAAATTCTAAATTTTTAAAAAAAGGAAAAATTTCGCTTTTCTTTTTGGGCCCACTGCCCTTGGGTTTTGGGGGTAAAGGCCCGGGTTTTTTGCAAAAAAAAAATTATTAAGTCACTGGATACTTTCTTTTAACTGCTATTTTTTTTATTCAGGGAAACCCTTTTTCTTGTTTTGTGAGTGTGTGGCTTCTAATTTTTTTTGAAATCGGGTAGCAAACCTTTTCAAAAAAGACATAAAAGTCTCTTAATTACTCCCCTACGGCCCCCTTTTTCAAAACAAAGGGGTTGGATTGGGGCCCCTTCCCCCCCCCCTATTAATTATCTTTTTTTCCCTCATTTTCCTCTTTCTTCCTTTGTTCTTCTTTTCCTTAAATTTTTCCTCCAAATTTTTAACCCCCCTCCTACTAAATTTTCGGGCTCCCTCATTTCTCTCTTTCTCCTACTTCTTTATTCTCCCTTTATTTTCTTTGGGATCCTGGGGGTTTTTTTTGGTTCCCCAAATCCTCCAAAAACCTATTTTAAAAAATTTTAAACTTTCTGACACTTCCATCTGTATTAGGCATACTTGGGAAAAAGTTTGAGGGTTAAATTTTGGGGGGGAGCACATATTTGACTCACGAAATTTGTTTTAAAGACTCGATTGTAAAAAAAACCATACCCCCGGGGGGGGAGGGTAGAAACCCCGGGTCAGAGAGTCTCCAAAAAATCCCGGGCTCGCTTTGTCCCGTGGCTAACGGGACAGTTTTTGGGTTTTTAGACCTTGTTTCGGGTTCTTCCCCGCCTGTTTGGGATGGGTTTGGGGTCACATATTTCTTACCCGCTAGGCATGCTTTTAAAAAAGAACTACTGAAATTTGGGATTCCCCCTTTTCCCCCCTGGCTCCCCAATTTTTTTTATATGATGCCACCCGACCCTGGAGAACCCCTTCTCTTCCCTGTGGGCCCCCACCAGCCCTTTCTCTCCCTTTATTTGATGGGGCTAGAATTTTTGCCTATTAATACGTCAAACACAGTGCTCGTAAGACGTATATATAACAATGGACCCCCGCATAGCGACCTTACCGGCAAGAGGGCTGGTTGTTATGCGAAATGTTCGGTATGCGAATGAATTTTCCCCCATAAAAAAATAATGGAAATAAAAATTAATCCGGCAAGACACCAAAAGTATAAAAAAAAAAAATTTTTTACCACATGAAATGTTAATTTTAATCACAAAAACTAAAAAAGGCATGCACAATTACATGACATTTAACTTTTATTGAAGATCTGGTGATGATTGATGGGATGGGAGGAGGGGAGAGAGAGTGTTAGTGTTTAGAAGGGGAACCCCCTTCCATTAAGACTTGAGGTGTCGAGTCCTTTTCTGGGGTTACTTCCCTCTTCTTTTTAATGCCACTAGGACCAGCTCAGAGTCACTGGACTTCTTTCGCACAACATATCTGTCCATAGTGGCCTGTACCTCTCGTTCCTTTATGACTTCCCTAAAGTGTTTCACAACTTTGTCAGTGTACGTTGCCAACACGGCTTGCAATAGCTGTGTGAGGGTGATTTTCATCCATGAAGGTTTGCACTTCAACCCACTTTGCACAAAATTTCCCTTTAAATTTTTTGTAGTAGGCAACTTCTTCAATTTCTCTCTCCCCTCCTCTGAACCAGTTTCCTCAGTCTGGCCTCTTGCTCTTGAAGTTGATCTATCAGCTCATCAGTGGTTAGTTCTTCATTGCCTCCTCCACCAACTTTTCCCAAAATCATCCCACTAACCCCCAAACCCCTAAGGACTTTCCCAACCCCACAATGGATTCCTCAACTGGCATAATCCTCTCAGGGTTAGCCTCAAACCCTTCAAAACCTTTGTCTACACATTCTGGCCCACAGTTTCTTCCAAGCAGAGTTCAAGGTCTTCTTAGTCACTCCCCCCCAAAAGCCTTCCTATAATTTTTTACACAGTTGAGGATATAAAAGTGATCTCTCCAAAAGTCTCTTAGAGTCAGTTGAGTTTCTGAGGTCACTACAAAGCCCCTTTTCAAAACAGAGCTTTTGTGTACAGTTTTTTGAAGTTTTGCAATAACCTGCTGGTCCATGGGCTGCAGGAGAGGAGTGGTATTAGGAGGCAAAAAACTTTACCTTAATGAATTTCATGTCCCCATAAAGTCGCTCTGCCACGTCTGTAGGATGACCAGGGGCATTGTCTAACACCAGGGGGCACTTAAGTTCTAATTTCTTTTCAGTTAGGAAAATCTTTCACATTGGGGGCAAATGCATGGTGTAACCAGTCATAAAAAAAGTCCCTAGTGACCCATGCCTTACTGTTTGCCCTCCACAGCACACACAAATTCTCCTTGAGGACATTCTTTTTGCCTGAACGGTCTGGGAGTTTCAGAGTGATACACTAATAAAGGCTTCACTTTGCAATCAACCATAGCATTGGAACACATCAACAAAGTAAGCCTGTCTTTCATAGGTTTAAATGTCCTGGGAGTGCCTTTTCCTCCTCAGTAAGTGGGTCCTGCTTGGCATTTTTTTTTCCAAAACAGGCCTGTTTCATCACAATTAAAACGCTTGTTCAGTTTCAGTCCTTCACTTTCTATGTACTCCTTAAATTTCCTGCACATATTTTTCAGCTGCTTTGTGGTCCGAACGGGCAGCCCCCACCATGCCTTATCACACTATGAATGCCACTACGCTTCTTAAATCTCTCAAACCAACCCTTTTTGCTGGCCTTAAATTCACTCACATCATCACTAGTTGCAGGCATTTTTTTTAATTAAATCCTCATGCAACTTCCTAGCCTTTTCACTTATGATCGCTTGAGAGAGCTAATCTCCTGCTAGCTGTTTTTCATTAATCCACACCAAAAAGAGTCTCCAACATCTTCCATCACTTGCGATCTCTGTTTCGAAAACACAGTTAACCTTTTGGGCAAGAACAGCTTCCTTGATTCCTTTCTGTTGCCCACAATAGTAGAGTTTGTTGATTTGGGTTTCTTGTAAAAACCTGACCAGCTCGGAGACACGCACCCCACTTTCATATTTATCAATGATCTCTTTTTTCATCTCTATTGAATTCTCACCCTTATTGCTGTGGGGTTGGAACTAGAAGCTTTCTGGGGCCCATGGTCACTTATTTCCAGATAAAGCACCGAAAACAACTGTAATAATAACGAAATATTCCGATGTATGCTTGGATGTTACCGCGGAGGCTGGCTGGTAAACAATGCCACCGGCGGAACATATGAGGCTGGCTCAGGCCGCACATTGGACGCGTCTCGGACGAAGGGCGGTGAGCGGGTTTTTGGGCGGTATGCGAGGCAAAATTTTAGCGATCAAAGCGTCCGGTATGCGGATTGTATGGTATGCGATGCGTACGGTATGCGGGGTCCACTGTACGACCGAAACAGTCAAAGGGTTAAAAGAAAAAGGGAAGTAACCCCAGAAAAGGACTTGCTACCAAAAGTCCTTATGGAAGGGGATTCCCCTTCCAAAAAATAATAAGTACACCTCCATCATCTCCCCTCCTCCCATCCCATCACTCATCACCACATCTGCAATAAAGGTAAGTGTCATTTATTCTTCATTACACAATATATTGTTGCATTATCCTTCTGTTTGTGTGTAGGAAAAAAGTATATTTCTTGTGGTAAAATTTTTTTTTATATACTTTGGTGTGTCTGGAATGGATTATTTGATTTCCATTATTTCTTATGGGGAAAAATTAATTCAACTTACAATAATTTCGTTTTACAATATCGCTCAGACCCCAATTATATCGTAAAACGGGGGTCCACTTTAATTGAATTTACATTTTCGTTTATTTTGGGGAAAATGGTTTCCGTTTTGCCAATTTCTGTTTTTGCCAGTCACTCTGGAATGGATTAACCTTTAAACGGTCCAAACATATATATACTTTCTCTCTGCGTAGCGCCCCAAATTTTTTGAGAAAAAAAAAAACGTTTCTTTTTTAATGGGAAAAAATAGCATATGGTACCCAGGCGTCCCCAATTTTTTTCATATGACGCACAGTGAGTGCGCCACCCATTCTCTCATGTCTAGGTGACTCAGGCTTATCGTGCCAATGTTGAATGAATCACAAAGGAAACGTATATAACATTTGGGGCACTACGTGAGAGAACGTACATGTATATACATGTATAAATTTGGGCCATTAAGGGTTAAACATGAAAACCGAGGGTCCACTGTGTAGGGGCACTTGAAGATAGATTGGAAAAAGGGGTGAAGGTGTTGAGAGCACGTGTGATTGTTATTTCAAGAGTGAGTAGGGACAAGTGGTGGTAGATTTGACGTGCTGTAGGAATATGATCAGGGAATATCTATTAAAGAATTCAGAGGACACTGATTCCTTGGATTTTTCTTGCTTTTTGGGAAACACAGTGCTTGCACTTGAAAAGTGAAATGTAGATGTTTTTGGTTGTTCATTGAAACATTACCGAACCACAAATACGATGGGGAAGGTGTTTTATTTCCCTTTATCCAGTAAGTTAAAAAAAAATCTGAATTAATTTTGCTCTTATAATTAATCCCTTTTCATGTTTCTTCCCCCAGTATCACAAGAAAACAACTGTAAATATGTGGACAGCCATTTTACCACAAACGAGCATTAATACGCCATTGTCGTATAGAACATAAGACACTGCCTCAAAATGTTACTATAGACCGGAAGTATAAATGTGAAAAGTGTGACCGCACTTTAATAGACCTTCAATGCCCACGACATCATTTGCAGTTACATGGAGGTAAAATATTATTTTATTTTTGTTAACTATTATGGTTTATAAGTCTTTATGACCGCTCATATCTAACTCAAAACCCCGAATACACCTTGCCTTCAGGCCCCTAAAGCCTCCATCTGCTTATAGCCAAGTCATTCACTCAAGGTTTACAAGTGATGTGGGTATTTGCTAGGTTCCACCTCAATACCACATACACAAAACAGTTTAGGCTGAGAGAATTCCACATGGCTAAACCCCCTTAGGGTTAGAGATGACACAATAACAAAATTAATACTACCATAATACAAAACCACAAGGTAATATTTTAGTACATTTACATTAATACTGTACAAAAATACCATTCATGGATTTTTAAAATCCCACACTTGGTATTAAACTAAACAAGAAAAAAGGCCTAGGATGTTGGACTGACACTAGTAGAAGGAAACGACACACCACATGATACAACAGACGTCACACAATACTCAAAGCATGGTACTGATACATTACACAGTGCTAACACTCTCATAATACACACAACAGGATACTGACACACACAATGCAAAACAACATGCTGCTTTACACAAACACACCCTAAACCCATGCCCAATAATTTTTTTTTTTTTATTATCACACTGGCCGATTCCCCCCAAGGCAGGGTGCCCCGAAAAGAAAAAAATTTCACCATCATTCACTCCATCACTGTCCCTTGCCAGAAGGGTGCTTTACACTACAGTTTTTAAACTGCAACATTAACACCCCTCCTTCAGAGTGCAGGCACTGTACTTTCCCCTCTCCAGGACTCAAGTCCGGCCTGGGCCCGGTTCCCTGAATCCCTTCATATATGTTTTCTTTGCTCACACTCCAACAGCACGTCAAGTATTAAAAACCATTTGTCTCCATTCACTCCTATCAAAACACGCTCACGCATGCCTGCTGGAAGTCCAAGCCCCTCGCACCCCAAAACCTCCTTTACCCCCTCCCTCCAACCTTTTCCTAGGCCGACCCCTACCCCTGCCTTCCTTCACACACAGACTGATACACTCTTGAAGTCATTCTGTTTCGCTCCATTCTCTCTACATGTCCAACCACCTCAACAACCCTTCCTCAGCCTGTGGACAACAGTTTTGTAATCCCGCACCTCCTCCTAACTTCCAAACTCGAATTCTCTGCATTATATTCACAAACCCCACATTCCCTCAGACATGACAAACTCCACTGCCTCCAGCCTTCTCCTCGCTGCAAACATTCATCACCCATGTTTCACACCCATATAAGAGCGTTGGTAAAACTATACTCTCATACATTCCCATCTTTGCCTCCAAGGACAAAGTTCTTTGGGCTCCACAGACTCCTATACACCACTCACTCTTTTTCCCTCTCAATTCTATGATTCACCTCATCTTTCATAGACCCTTTCCTCTGACACGTCCACTCCCAAATATCGAATACATTCACCTCCTCCATACTCTCTCCCCCCCAATTTCTGATATTCAATCTTTCATCACCTAATCTTTTTGTTATCCTCATAACCTTACTCTTTCCCTGTATTCCCCTTTTAAAATTTTCTTCTTTTGCACACCCTACCAAATTAAAATCCACCAATCTCTGCAACTTCTCTTCAGAATCTCCCAAAGCACAGTGTCATCAGCAAAGAGCAGCTGTGACAATCCCACTTTGTGTGTGATTCTTTATCTTTTAACTCCACGCCTCTTGCCAAGACCCTCGCATTTACTTCTCTTACAACCCCATCCATAAAAATATTAAAACAACCACGGTGACATCACACATCCTTGTCCTAAGGCCTACTTTTACTGGGAAAAAATTTCCCTCTTTCCTACATACTCTAACTTGAGCCTCACTATCCTGTAAAAAACTCTTCACTGCTTTCAGTAACCTACCTCCTACACCATACACTTGCAACATCTGCCACATTGCCCCCTATCCACCCTGTCATACACCTTTTCCAAATCCAAAAATGCCACAAAGACCTCTTTAGGCCTTATCTAAATACTGTTCACTTATATGTTCCCCTGTAAACACCTGGTCACACACCCCCTACCTTTCCTAAAGCCTCCTTGTTTTATCTGCTATCCTATGTTCCGTCTTACTCTTAAAATTTTTTCAATTATAACTCTAAACCATACACTTTACCAGGTATACTCAACAGACTTATCCCCCTATAATTTTTTGCACTCTCTTTTATCCCCTTGCCTTTATACAAAGGAACTATGCATGCTCCCCTGCCAATCCCTAGGTAAACCCTTACCCTCTTCCAACATTATTAAATAATTGCCACCAACCACTCCAAAACTATATCCCCACCTGCTTTTAAAATTATCTATTTTTTTATCCCATCAATCCCACTGCCTTACCCCCTTTCATTTTACCTACTGCCTCATGAACTTCCCCCACACTCACAACTGGCTCTTCCTCACTCCTACAAGATGTTATTCCCCCTTGCCCTATACACGAAATCACAGCTTCCCTATCTTTATCAACATTTAACAATTCCTCAAAATATTCCCCCCATCTTCCCAATACCTCTAACCTCCATTTAAAAACCCTCTCCTCTCCTATTTTTAACTGACAAATCCTTTTGTTCTCTGGGCTTCCTTAACTTGTTAATCTCACTCCAAAACTTTTTCTTATTTCAACAAATTTGTTGATAACATCTCACCCCCTCCTCATTTGCCCCTCTTTTTACATTGCTTCACCACTCTCTTAACCTCTCTCTTTTTTCCATATACTCTTCCCTCCTTGCATCACTTCTACTTTGTAAAAACTTCTCATATGCTAACTTTTTCCCCCTTACTACTCTCTTTACATCATCATTCCCCAATCGCTCCTCTTCCCCCCTCCTGCACCACTTCCTGTAACCACAAACTTCTGCGAAACTCTAACACTACATTTTTAAACCTACCCCATACCTCTTCGACCCCATTGCCTATGCTCTCATTAGCCCAATCTATCCTCCAATGCTGTTTTATTTATTTTACCCTAACTGCCTCCCTCTTTTGTTTAAAAACCTTCACCTCTCTCTTCCTGATGCTTCTATTCTCCTTGTATCCCATCTACTTTTACCTCAGTGTGCTAAACTAGAAATGATCTGATATATCTGTGCCCCTCTATAAAATGTACATCCTGAAGTCTACTCAACAGCTTTTATCTACCAATACATAATCAACAAACTACGGGTCATTTCGCCCTACATCATATCTGTATACTTATTCACCCTTTTCTTAAATATGTATTCCTTAACAAATCCCTTCTATACAAATTTTCAATCAAAGGGCTCCTTATCATTTACATCACCCCCCAAACTTACCTACCACACCTCTCTAAAAGTTTCTCCTACTTTAGCATTCAGTCCCCTACCAAAATTACTCCTCACTGGTTCAAAGCTCCTATCTTCATTTAAACATCTCCAAATCTCTCTCCCCCTCTAACATTCCTCTTCCAGGGGGCAAATGCTTATTATGACCACTTTTTGCATCCAACCTTAATTTAACCCAAACATAAATTCTTGAATTTACACATTCATATTCTCTTTTCTCCTTCCATAACTGATCATTTAACATTATGCTACCCCTTCCTTTGCTCTAACTCTCTCAGAACTCCAGATTAATCCCATTTATTTCCCCCACTGAAACTCTCCTACCCCCTTCAGCTTTGTTTCGCTTAGGGCCAGGACATCCAACTTCTTTTCATTCATAACATCAGCAATCATCTGTTTCTTGTCATCTGCACTACATCCACGCACATTTAAGCATCCAGTTTTATAAAGTTTTCTTCTTCTTCTTTTTTAGTAAATGTCTACAGGAGAAGGGGTTACTAGCCCATTGCTCCGCATTTTAGTCGCCTCATACGACACTCATGGCTTACGGAGGGAAAAATTCTTTTCCACTTCCCCATGGACAATAGAAAAAATAAAAAGAACAAGAGCTATTTAGAAAAAGGAGAAAAACCTAGATGTATGTATATATATATGCATGTGCGTGTCTGTGAAGTGTGACCAAAGTGTAAGTAGGAGTAGCAAGATATCCCTGTTATCTAGCGTTTATGAGACAGAAAAAGAAACCAGCAATCCACCATCATGCAAAAAAAGTTACAGGGTTTTTTTTTTTTACAGTCATCTGCAGGATGGTAGTACTTCCCTGGGGGGTTGCTGTCTACCCAACCTACTACCTACAACCTACTTCATTGTTAATTTTAATAATAATGTAAAATAAGGAAATTAAAGTTTAACATGGGGAAGAGCAAGTTTATGAGGATAACAAAAATTTAGGTAATGAAAGATTGTATATCAGATTGGAGAGAGGGAGTATGGAAAAGTGAATGTTTTCCCGATATTTTGGGGTGGATTGTCAGCAGATGGGTCTGTGAAGGATGAGGTGAATCATGGAACTGATGATGAGGGGAAAAAATTGAGTGGTACCCTGAGGATCTGTGAGACAAAGAACGTTATCCATGGAAGAACAGAGGGGAATGTATGAGAGTATAGTTGTACTAATGCTCTTACATGGGTGCAAAACATAGGTAATGAATGTTGCAATAGCAAGAAGGCTGGAGGCAGTGGAGATGTGTTTGAGGGCAAATTGCAGTGTGAATATAATCAGGAATCCGTAGCTTGGAGATTAGAAGGAGGGTGGGGTTTCTAAAAATCCAGAGGGCTGAGGAGGGGTTGTTGAGGTGGATCAAACATTCAGAAGGAGGGAACAAAATAGAATGACTTGGAGGGAGTATAAATCTGTAGTGGAAGGAAGGCGGGGTAGGATCATCCTAGGAAAGGTTGGGGGGGCAGTTTTTGTGTTCAAGGGCTTGAAAATTTTATTTATTTATTTATTTATGTCTTTGCAAATAGTACACTGAGATTAGTATTACAGTAATGGGTTGCAGTGCCCAAAAGAGCCTCTATTATGCCCCAGGCATTATGGGCTGATTTAAAATTATTGGCTTACTGACTAAGAATTGTATCATAGTTGTACAGTAGATTATTAATTATATCATAGTTGTACAGTAGA